ATATATATATATATTTTTTTTTTTTTTTTTTTTTTTCTTTTTTTTTTCTGAGAAAGAGTCTTACTCTGTTGTCCAGCCTGGAGTGCAGTGGCATGATCTCAGCTCACTGCAACCTCCTCCTACTAGGTTCAAGCGATTCCCCCAGCTCACCCTCCCTGTAGTAGCTAGGATTACAGGCATGTGACACCATGCCCAGCTAATGTTTGTATTTTTAGTAGAAACGGGGTTTCACCTGTTGGCTAGGCTGATCTCGAGGCCCTGACCTCAAGTGATCCTCCTGCCTTGGCGTCACGAAGTGCTGTGATTATAGGCGTCACTGTGCCCAGGCCCTGTGTAATATTTTTGTGAATCAAGAATAAATTATAGACATTCTTTCCCGTTATCCCTGAGTGCTTGAGTGTATCTATCCTAAGGAGGAGGATATATATTTTTTCTTCTTCTTTTTCTTTTTTTGGAGATGGAGTCTCATTCTGTTGCCCAGACTGGAGTGCAGTGGTGCTCTCTCCACTTACTGTAATCTCCAGCTCCCAGTTCAAGCAATTCTCCTGCCTCAGCCTCCTGAGTAGCTAGGGTTACAGGCAGGTGCCACTTCATTGAACTAAGTTTTGTATTTTTAGTAGAGACAGAGTTTTACCTTATTGGCTAGGATGGTCTTGGTCTCCTGACCTCGTGATCTGCCCACCTCTGCCTCCCAAAGTGTTGAGATTACAGGCATGAGGCACCGTGCCTGGCCCGAAGGAGGACATTTTCTTATGTAACTGTGTTATAGTTATGAAAATGAGTAAATTAATTGTATTATCAGTTGTCCCAATTAAAGTCCTTTATATCATGAATGAATGAGAGAATGAATGAATTACACGGATAGAATTTGGTCCTGTTTCCAATTCAGGATTGTGCATGGCACTTAGTTTTCACGGTTCTTTAATCGTCTTTAATCTGGAACATTTCTTCAATTTATCTTTGTTAATAGTTTTTGAAGAGCAAATTACTCCTTGCAAATTTTTAATTTTTGAAGGGGCAGATTACTTTGAGAATGTCCCTCTATTTGAGTTTGTCTGATGTTTTTTTGATCGGGTATTTGGGGGGCTAACATTAGAGATTAATATTTTTGCAAAACATTTTTTCCTCAGCATTCTTTTACCAAGCGAAAAATCCAAAAGTCTTTCAAAATGTGTTTGGCATCTACCATTCGAATTAGAAAAGAGCATAGTAAAGCCAGATGTGACATTTGAACTTTACTAATAAGAATAATGAACTTTATAATATCAGCACAAATAACATACAGAAATGTTCATCTCACATATGGGATAAATTAAAATGGGAAACTTAAGGAAATTTTGGCATTTGATTGGAGGGTTATTTTATTAAGAGTTTTATCATGGTTTTAAAATTTTCCTTAAATTTAAAAACCATGATATTTGTTCATAATATCTCAGATACCTACCTGCATTTTATTTAATCTCCGTTGGTTGAATAAGTATATTCTCTCTTTAATGTCTATGAAAAATTCTGTTCTGTGTGGCGCTCCGATGGTCTGCTGTCATGGCATGGTTGTTTTGTTAGGGCGTCCTAAGGTGCTCACTCATAGCCTGTCTTTGTCCCTAGCAGCAGCTCTTGCCCACCATGTACAGGTGGGTGGGGAGCTAGGGAAGGGACAGCATTAGGTGAAATACTTAATATAGATGACGGGGCGGGGTCCGGAGGGTGATGGATACAGCAATGATACCTATGTAACAAACCTGCGCATTCTGTGCATGTACCCCAGAACTTAAAGTATAATAAAAAAAATGTATAAAATACAAAGAAAATGTATTTATACACCTAACCTACAAGAGTATAACCCCAGCCTAACCTACCTCATGTGCTCAAGACATTTACTTTAGCCTTCAGTTGGGCAAAATAATTAACACAAAGTTATTTTACAGTAAAATGTTGGATATCTCATGTAAATTGTGGAATACTGTCCTGAAAGTGAAAAACAGAATGGCTTCGTAGGCACCATCAAAAGCTGAAAAGCCATTAAGTCGAAGCATTGTAAGTTGTGGACCATCTGTATAACCCTCTGCCAATTTTCTCCTCCATGCAGTGTTTTTTTGAGGAAGCAGAATTAAATAGCATACAATGAATTTTTTGTATTATCAAAATAATGCATCTGAACTGTAGAAAATTCAGTCATGCGTAGAAGAAACTCAAAATCACTTGTTATTCTGTGACTTCAGTATTGTCATTTTGATGTATTTTTTTTTATTTGTGTCTGTGAGTCTAGCCAAAGGTGATATATTTTTTCAAATGATTTTCTTGGTCAGGCGCGGTGGCTCACCGCTATCATCCCAGAACTTTGGGAGGCCAAAGCAGGCGGATCACTTGAGGTCAGGAGTTTGAGGCCGGCCTGACCAACGTGGCAAAACCCTGCCTCTCCTAAAAATATAAAAATTAGCCG